TCTTGCTTCTATACGAGTGTCTAAGCAGCTTATAAATGCGAAGAGCTGCAGAGCAGCCCTCAGTTAATTGAGTATATTAGCTGAGCGAAAGCAGCTTTAACATAAATGAAAATTACTCAAGAATAAGCTATTAGATATTATTAAATGAATGCGCATATGCACGAGCGCAGATGGGAATGCTTTAAGTGAAAAATAGTAAAGCAACATATGTTTATTTTAATGTAATATTAAATAGAAGGTCAAGGTGACAGATAAATTTGTTTTGAAAATGAAAAAGCGTACTAATATTGATTAAATTGATAATATTAACATAAGACTATAAATAAACAAAAACATCTCTATTTAAAACTAAAGTTAGTAAATAAGTTAGGCAGAAATAGGAAATATTTATTTATTTAAGGTCTTCAATAAGTTATTCATTTATTAATAATTATTTATTAATAATTAAAATGATTAATAAATTGATTATTTATATTATTTATTAATAATTAAATTATTCTTTTATTTATGTCCGTAGCATTGTGTTGTGAATACTCACAGCAAAAAATTGTATTTTTTTTTAAATACAGAAAATCAAATAAATTAAAAGCCTTACCTTAATAATAATTAATCAGGACATTTTTTTTTTATTTGTATATGCTTTGCAGCTTTTACAATTCTTACTAATTATAAATTATTTAATAAATAATTAATTTTTGTTAATTTTTTTTTTATTCTTTTTTATTTTTATATTCATTTCTATAAATTTTTGTGCTTTTATATATTTATAATTTTCATATGCAAAAAATCTGTGAAGAGATTCCGCATTGATCAAGGCAATTATAATTTTTCTATAATTAGTTGCTATTGGTATAGACTTTTTTTGAAGAGTATAAATATTGATGGGGCTAAGAAGGGAGATGGAAGAAGTACCTACCCTACAGCCCCTCTAATTTTTTCCAAAGAAACCGAAATTAGGTTAACGAAGCAGTGTCTAGCTATTGGAGCAGACATGCTTAGGATTGCGAACAGATGTCACGGAATGTGGGTTAAATAAAGCACGAGGGGAAACGCATACTCAGAGCTGTGCGTACGCACATTTGCACAGCTAGAGAGTAGGCGACGACCTATGCGAATCAATTCAAATTCAATGCGATTCCTCACAATTAGCGCAAGGTCTGAGGAAGGCCCCGTGCAACACTTGGACGACTCGATAACCAAGTCAACTAGTTGCAACTTGAGCCGTTGCTCGTTAGTTGTGCTTCGGCACTCTTGGCCTGATCCGCCGCCTCCTGCCTGTCGAGTGTCGCCTGACACATTCTCAACGCTCGCTTTGTCGGCGACTTTACAAAGTTTGCAACGTCGCCAAGTTTTGTGGCAGGTAACGGAGCAGGAGCAGGGCAGCAGGGCAGCAGGGCGGCAGGAGCTGTGGCTGTAGCTGGAGGTGCATTCAAATTAAATAGCATTTTGATGAATATTGATTGATTGCTTGCTTGTTGGCAGGCTGGAAGGCTGGCTGGCTGGCTGGCTGACTGACTTGTGCCGCCTTGTGGCAAATTAAAAGCAATTGGCGCTATGGCAAATCGAAAAACTTTTACCCCCAAAAACTTTGGCCTTGTAACTGAGATAGTCGAACTGCAGTTGCAATTTAATTTCCCAATGCACACACATATATACCTCCGCATATATGTATGTATGTAGACAAGAGAGTTATCCAAAAAATTTGTTAATCAACAGTTGTTTGTTTGAAGCGCGGCAGAAACTTTGAATTCGCCAAAGCGAATTTTCAATGCGGCTACGAAATGAACTTCATTGCGACTGATTTAAGTTGCGAAATTTTTGGATCGATCTAAGGCATTAACTGTTGTTGGAAATAAGTTCAATATAAGCTTTTAATATATATTAATATATTTATAAGCCATTGACAAATTTTTGGTAAAAATTGATTAAGTTGCGGTATTAGAATAAAACACTTGCTGAATAAAATATTTAAAAAATATAGATAAACAATAAATGGCTATGTAATTAATTCTATATACAGTTCCACAATATTGTGACAAAAATTACACAGGGTCGTGTCATCGTCAGTGCGATATTACGCTGGCAATTCGTGTTAATCGATTAATATATTACCAAAGGAGGTATTGTCACTAAGAGAGAGACAACTATAGCTGTTGCTGAACGTGGACCCGGATGTCGCTGGGTGCGAGTGAGACGGCTAGTAATTAATGTCTGTCGCACAGGGTCGCTATGCTTTCGATGAACAAGAATTTGCGACCAGATTTCGAAATTTTGACAGGAGAGGATAATTCCGACTTGGTCATAGAGAATCTAACAAGAAGGAGCTTTATAAAAGAGTTAAGCGACCACGGGATCTCTCTTTGATAGGCGCAACTATAATGGAAGGCATAAATGCAAAACATAACGCTCCGACAAATATATATATGTTTTAAAAACTGATTGTTATAAGCTAATAAACATTTATTATAAACAATTATTTAATAATAAAAAGAAATGGAAAATATATATTTAAATAGTTCACTGCTTAAAAATCTGTGCTGATAAGCTTAAAATACAGAAATAAATACAAAATATTAAAGATACTATCAAATTTCCAAGCAACTTTTATACAATTATCTAAGTAATGGAAATAAAGATAAACTTATATATTCTAATAAAGCGAACCGCTGCAATTTATTTAATAATTCAGCATTAAGTAGCGAGCAAGTTCGCTCGAGGACATTACGCAATGGAGTGCTGTGGATTGTGCTGGTGTTGGTGTTTGTTGCACTGCGAGTTGCTGCAACCGGAAATGAGTAAACAAGCGTCAAATAGTAAAAACACAACAACGACAACGCCGAGGACTGCAACGACAACTGCAACTGCAGCTCCAACAGGGCGCCAGACCAAGCACGGCGACAGTGTCCTTACGAAAAACATAAATAAATGAAACATTAAACAAAACTACGACGACGACGGCGAGGGCGACGGCGAGGGCGACGGCGAGGTCGAGGGCGACGACAACAATGGACAAAGGCCCTTGTGGAGTGCTGCAGCAGTGAAGTATCGTGGAGTGTGGCGCGTGCATAAGGACTTGAATGCGGACGCCAGCGCAAAGATGGCGAAAAATGAGCGAAGACAACAACCGGATATCCGGCAACTTTATAAGCAGCCAGCAGGCAGCGCCACAAAGGACAATCAGACAACGGCACAAGCAATGCGTACAGCCAACAGCGAACTCCAACCACCGCCACCATCGCCGCCACCGCCACCGACAACGTAGTTTATTTTAACTTTTGATTTCCGCCTCCTTTGGTATGCCGAGTACTCGCTGCAGCCAGCAGCTGCGCACCGCTGACCGGGCGACCTGGTCAGCTGCAAGCACACTCCTTCAGCACAGCGTTCAAGACGCCAGCAGACGAGCGACGGCATTTAAAATGAATTAAACTTGCGTTACTTCTCCACCTGAAATCTCCCAGTTCCTCAGCTCGTGCACCGGACCATATAATATGCAACATGGGGCGCTGTAAGCGAGCAGCACGCAATTCAATTTTCACAATGTCTCCGAATGTCAAATGCAAAGTGTATTATAGTAAGAAAAGCTTTCATATTGAATGCAATTAAATATTAAGTTAAATAAATACTTTGCCGAAATTAAATGAATAATAAAA